GTCGAGCACCTCGACTTTCATGCATTCAAGGTTCAAGCCTATATTCCGATCCTGTGTCAACACCGGTTTGGCCTTTGGGGCTCGACACTGGGTCGCCACCCTCCAGCTCCAGTGCGAACGCCTCGTCTTCTTCATGGCTACCAACGTCCCCACCAAGGACTCTCTCGGTCCGTCCATTTACTCTCTCTCTCTCTCTCTCTCTCTCTCTTTTCTTCTTTTTCACTCCTCCTTATAACCTAACCCCATTCCTCATCTCAGGGGTTACAACACTGGCCGGGAGAAAGAGCGTGCTGAAGATGGCGCAGAGGATGACACAAAGCTTCTACCGCGCCATTGCTGCATCAAGCTACATCAATGGACCAAAATCACCACCAAAACTGGACAGGACATGAGGGTTTCTTCCAGGAAGAACCTCCATGATCCTGGCGAGCCCACCGGAGTCATCGTCTGCGCTTCTTCCTCCCTCTGGTTACCTGTTTCTCCCACTCTTCTCTTCGATTTCTTTAGAGATGAAGCTCGTCGCCATGAGGTACCTTCTCAAACCCACTCTTGCACACAACCAACAAAACCGGGTTTCCACTCATACATCTAAACTTTATATATATATATATCATCAGTGGGATACTTTGTCAAGCGGAGCTCATGTTCAGTCTATTGCAAGCTTATCCAAGGGACAAGACAGAGGCAACTCGGTGTCTATCCAGGTTTTTTTTTTTTGCTTTGTCAATTCAGTGTCCAAAAGTCTGGATTTTCTAATCCTCCCCTCCAAATTGCAGACAGTGAAATCGAGAGAAAAGAGCATATGGGTGCTGCAGGACAGCTGTACAAACTCATATGAGTCGGTGGTCGTATACGCTCCTGTAGATATAAACACGACACAGCTGGTGATTGCAGGACATGATCCAAGCAACATCCAAATCCTTCCCTCTGGATTCTCAATCATACCCGATGGAGTAGAATCAAGACCACTGGTAATCACGTCCACACGAGAGGACAGAAACACCCAAGGAGGGTCTCTGCTCACACTCGCCCTCCAAACGCTCATCAACCCTTCTCCAGCAGCAAAGCTGAATATGGAGTCCGTGGAATCCGTCACAAACCTCGTCTCTGTCACCCTGCACAACATTAAGAGAAGCCTGCAAATCGAAGACTGTTGATGGCAGAGGTGTCACTCACTCTTGTGATGATGATGATGATGATGATGATGTTACCTTACCTATATATAAGTATATCATAATGTATAGCAGTGCATTAAGTTTTGTACAAAAACAAGCCACTCAATCTCTTCTGCAATCATTCATAAGAACCGAAGACACAGTAACTTAACCAAAACAATTATTCGGATCAGATGAACACCAATACACAACCCCTGATTTAGATACATTACTTTGATCAGAATACAAGACCTTACCAGTTACCAGCAGGAACATCACCACGGCACTAAATTCCACAAACACACCAAGCAATTCGTATACGAAAGCAATAAAAGCAGAAAACACATTCCATAAACAGATAGAATTACAATCCTCTGCAATACACAACAAACATCCGAAATGGAGAACAAGAAAAGAAAATACACTGAGTGAGTCGCAATCTCCTCTACACCACCGGCTGCTGAGATTCTAAGGGAATGCCAAGGTCGTTCCCAGATTCTCCTCCGACTTCCGCTTTCCTGCCGCTCCTTGTGACGACGGGAAGCGCCACGAATGATTTAGTCTTACTGATGGGTCTGCTCTTCTCTAGCCTCACAACGTCTCCCACCTTGAACTGATTATCCGGGTCATGCGCTTGGTACTTCTTCTTCTTCCTCACGCGCCTCTTGTACTTGGGATGCGGAGCCAGCCTCACCACCTCCACCGCCACGGTCTTGTCGTTGGTTGCGCACACCACGCGCCCCTGCATCGTTTTCATGGCTCTGATGACCGGAACCAAAGCGGGCCTTGGAGGGTTCGCGAAGAAATTGGGCTTAGAGAGAGAAGAGAGTGGAGTGGAGCCATGGGCGAACGGAGACGAAAGCTTCAGAGCTTGCAGAGATGAGGTTAGGGACGCCATCGTTATCCCCCTCGAGAAGATAAGGCCCCGACCCGAATATGTATGTATATTTCATATACTGTACATTGTACATGGAGAGGTGAGCTCTGCTTATCCTTGGTAAATGGGCTTTTAAAATAAATTGGGCCGAATCTTTTACAAAAGAATTGAAAGCGAATTACAAAGCTCTTTTTTCATATTTGAATTCCTCCTAATAATCAATCAATCAATCAATCAATCAATCAATCAATCAATCAATCAATCAATCAATCAATCTCTCTCGTCTCTCTCGCCCCCTAATCCGAATCAATGCCGCGCCGTTGGACTCCTGACGCCGCCTAAGGTTTCAAGGTATGACGTCTTCTTGGTCGTGACGACGCTTAGCTTCTCCTTCACCAACAGATCGTCTGACGTATCCTTCTTCGACTGATCCAAGTCCCATCCCATGAAATCCGACAGCGTCATGCTCCCAACCAGCGTCTCGTCCTCTGTTTCCCTCGGCGTGCTCCTCTTGTTCCCCGCTCGATCTGCCTCTAGAACGTCATCGATTCTCGACATTACTGTGTACGCCAAGCTCTCCAGTATTCTCGAGTAGCTCTCCAGCACCGCTTGACCCACGTCCTGTGGTTTTCGAAAATTAAGTAAGGTCATGGAGAACCATAGAATTGGAAATTTATTATTACCTTGTTGAACTGGATCTTGCTGATGTCGAGTGAAGACTGTGAAATCCCAGGGTATCTTTGCTTGAGGATGAGCAAAATGGTCTCAGCTCGTTCTTCGAAGACCTCTCGCTTCTCGAGGCTGACGCCGGAAGCCCACGGGGCCGCTGATTTGCTGTCTTTGTGAACCATTTTACGTTTCCATATGACAATTGATGCCTCGATTCTGTTTTTGAGGTCGACGATCTTGTGCTCCGATGACATGTCCATGGTGCTCAGGAACTGGTCCGGGTCGAACCAGTCCACCGTTATGTTCCTGTACATCTGATCCCCGAGACTTGCCCTCCCATTCTGCATTATAAACACCTGTGAGTTGCTCCATTCTTTCAACTCCAGACTCGTATATCACCAGTTGTCTACTTACCTTGGGGAGAGAGTCGATGTAGCTCTCAGGGATCTCCATCTCGAACAAAACCTGTGCGTTTATGGCCATGGCTGCCTTTAGAACCTGGTTTACACAATCTTTCTGGTACTGCAAGAACCTTCTAGAAGCTTCTGATAGACCATCTGGCGGAACTTTGACTGTCGGAATCCACCATTTGTCGTCATTTCTCTTAGCGTTTGCGTTCTCCGAATCAGGCGAGTCTTTTGAAACATAGCTGAACTCGCTTTGGTCCTTGAATTTTTCTAGACAATCCTAGGCAGAAAAAGAAAAAAGAAAAACCAAATCAGGCATCCTTTTGTTGCCAATGAACTCTACTTGAGGAGAAAGAGGTCTTACAATGAGCATGGCGTCCAGTTTCTTTAAGGCGGGGATGTTCATGTGGAGGTCAGTACGTTGGCGTGTGGTCATTATCTGTTATTTTTTTTTAAGACCAATAAATAATATGGGATGTTACCAAATGAATCGCAGCAGTGAGACAGGTAATAACCTCCATATTGGTTCCATCTTTGTTTTTTTGTTGAGATGGAGCAAACTCAACGACGTAGTCCGTCACAGCGAGAAGCCAATCTATCTCTCTTCTCCATCTTGCTCTCCTCTCTGCAGGCATTGGCTCCAAACGCCGTTGCTCTCCGAACACAGAAGCTACCAACAACACAGTATCATATTTGGTGGTTAATGTATAACAAGATGCTACATCCAGAAAATCCTACCTGCAAGGTTTGTGATTGCGTTTGAGAGGGCGAGAGCAGAGGAGACTCCTTTGCCTCCACCGGAATTGTCCTCTCCCAGCAACAGCTTGGAGAAGCGCTCTTTCATCTGCTCCATGTCTGACGTCATCGCAAGCCAGCTAGATAAGAAAGCAGGAGAAAATGATGTCCAATGTCGAAAGGAAAGAGAAGAGAAACATGCCTGCCAGAAGCTGTTTCTCTCTAGCCTGTGCGGCGGCGAGCGCTGCTTCATCCGCAGCTGATCTTGAAAGCGGCGGGGCCTTGTTAGGATGGATTATGGTCAACGGTTCAGCCTCCTGAGATCCGGTGGCAGCCTCATCCAAACCGGATTCGACGCTGATACTCTTGGCCTGTTTCCCTGCATTGTTGTCGTTGTTCCTCCATTTGAAATTGAAGAGCCTGCTCCTATAGCTTTCCTGCTCTTGCTCTGATGCACGAACCATTCCTGATCGCACGAGATAATTAGGGAGGAGAGGAACAGAAAAGAGAGGATTGAAAGGCCAGAGAGAGCCTCTCTTGAGACCTGCGACACGAAAAAGAAAGAGAAAATACAAAAAATGGAGGGGAGGAGGAGGATTTACCAAGAAGCTAATTGAGCGGCAAAACAATAAAGGGGATTATAATTGTTACACAGATTTTGGCAGAGAAAATTGTGGGGAAGGCAATGGATTTGAAGGAGACAACGTGGGGCGCATGTTTTAGACCAGACCACACCTGTTAATTATTTATAACTAATGATTAATTAGGATTTGATAATTAGAGATAGATAACAGTTAGAATAACTTGTTGCTGAAAATCATGTAATTAGGATTGTGTGATTTACTTTACTTTACCTATCCATTTCACTAGATGCTCTAAACATGCAATGTCAACTGGGAATCTGCTACGGTTCCATTTACATACATTGTGTTCTTTTTTAAGTTCATGAATTCAAAATTTGTATGAGTTTCAAACGTGCATTGTTGTCTATAAATTAAAAAAAAAACAACAATGGTTTTTGGCCGACACAGCAGTCGCTAATTACGTACGTATATACATGTGATTAGATGAAGAAGAAACTGGGAAAAGGTCATAAAATGGGCCATTTCGAGTATTGGCCCATATGATATCGGCCCATGTTTATCTCTCCTCTGCTAATAGTTAATACCCACCACTCACTCACTTCTGTCTCTGCGCTTGGAGAAACTAGAGAGAAAGAGAGAGAGATGGAATCAATCGGAGTCCTGATGATGTGCCCCATGTCCACCTACCTGGAGGACGAGCTTCAGAAGCGCTTCAACCTTGTTCGTTTCTGGACTTGTCCGGAGAAATCAGTCCTTCTGGAAACTCATCGGAACTCCATCCGCGCCGTCGTTGGGAATGCTTCTGCCGGCGCTGATGCTCAACTCATCAATGATCTTCCCAAGCTTGAGATTGTCTCCAGCTTCAGCGTCGGCCTGGACAAGATCGATTTGGGGAAATGCAAGGAAAAAGGGATCCGCGTCACCAACACTCCCGACGTTCTCACCGAAGACGTCGCAGATCTCGCGATTGGGCTTATCCTGGCTCTCCTCCGACGCTTGTGTGAGTGTGATCGCTATGTGAGGAGGGGCAAATGGAAGACCGGTGATTTCCAGCTCACTACTAAGGTCTTTTCCTCTGTTGAAAGTCCTTGCTTGCAAATCGTATGCCTTGTGATTGGAAATAGTCAGTAATCGTTTTTTTTATGGAAAAAGTGATGATCGTGAGGTCTAATTAGACTTACTTTTTCTAATGCACTTTCTGTGTTAAAGCTGGGGCTAGTCTCAGAATTCCCTCTGCGTAACTTTCATCTTCTTTTTATTTCTGCACGCCGAGAACTGAAGATTTTTCTTCTTCTGCTGATTGATTGATTCAGTTTAGTGGAAAGTCCGTGGGCATCATTGGTCTAGGTAGGATTGGGACTGCCATCGCAAAGAGGGCTGAAGCCTTTAGCTGCCCTATCAATTACTACTCAAGAACAGTGAAGCCTGATGTAGGCTACAAGTATTATCCAACGGTGGTTGAGCTTGCTGAAAACTCAGACATCCTCGTGGTGGCATGCCCATTGACGGACGAGACCAGACACATTGTGAATCGGCAGGTGATGGATGCATTGGGAGCAAAGGGTGTGCTGATAAACATAGGGCGTGGACCACATGTTGATGAGCAAGAGCTTGTGAAAGCTCTAACACAAGGCCGCCTAGGTGGGGCTGCGCTGGACGTGTTTGAGCAGGAGCCACACGTGCCCGAGGAGCTCTTTGCCCTTGATAATGTGGTTCTGCTCCCTCACGTTGGGAGTGGCACTGTGGAGACACGGAATGCCATGGCCGATCTTGTGGTGGGTAACTTGGAAGCCCACTTTTCTGGTAGATCACTTCTGACTCCGGTGGTCTGAGTGATTTTCAAGGCCTTTTATGTTTGGATAAATAAAATAGGCAACTAATGGATTTAAACACTAGAGGGGATGCTCTCTGTTTCATGTCTCTATTTCTTATGTTTCTTTTCCCAAAGTATTGGAGTAGAATACAAGTGTGACACTTGGGGACAAAAATATGATAGCGATCTAATCCCAGAAATATACTACTTATAGACGACATTAATGTTGGTTTTCAAGTGAAGCTAAAAAAAATGTTTTGTAGAGAGAATCATCTGAACCTAAAAAAAAAATATAGATTATGTCCTATGTGGTGCATCCAGCAAAGAGCAAACCTTAGCAGATTTTATGTCCTATGTCCTATGTAATTAGGGCTCCTTTCCAGCCTTCTTGGCTTTGGTTTTCTCCTTCTTGTCATCTTCTTCTTTCCTGATGCACGTAAACAAAGCATATTGGAGTTAGGTTGGAAAACGACCAATGAGTACTGCATTTGACTAAATAATGAATTGAATCCCAAGCATATTCTCTGCAATGAAAAAGATAAAGTTTGGTTTGATGTCATTACCCTCCTCCTTCCCGCTCAGCTGATGATAGTCTTTTCCACACCTCCCTCTCCATCTCACCTGAAGGCATTAGTATATCATTTTTCCAACGTTTATACGTTTAACTCCATTTTTTGCACTCTAGTATAACAGGGAATTGCCAACTTACCATTCACTGCTTCCAGGGCAACTGAGAATTTATTCTTCACAACTAAACCTCCAACAAACTGTGCCGCCGCACGAGCTTTCATAGCTGTTTCTGAATCTATGAAACATACGTAACCCGAATCCAATCCACCAGAGCATTCTATGTGCTGCACAAAGCACAGAAATAGAATGATTGCTGCTCAACAATCACTTTTTAGGGGATGTCCTGGAAAAAGTTTGCAAGTGTTACCTTAACGCTGCCAAATCTTTGAAAAACATCCTTGAGAACCTCAGGGCCAACAGAATCGCTGTTAACCGACGGGGGAACGACAAGTTGATCAGCCTTGTCTACCTTCTCTCCGCTCTCTGTGCACAAGCTAGCACATGAATTATCCGCCACCAAATCTCTGCTTTCCTTCTTTTTATCCTTTCCTTGCAGTTTCTCAGCATTGCCTGCCATATCTTCCTTCCCTCTGATTTCATTTTCCAGACTCTTGGGTTTCTCTGCAACCCAGAAAAGTTGCAGCTCAAAATGTTTAGAGATCAAGTCTTGAGAAACGAGAAAGTACCTTTATTTATTACTCCGTTGGCTATTCTTTTCAGTGTAAATTGGACAACGTGACCTCTGCGGAATCTGTAGCAATATATACATATATGAGCCAACCTGCTTTTTTGAATAAAAAAACGTTTTGATAGACAGAAACAAACAACAGACTGACTCGTTGTGGGAGGAATCAGTAAGACTTGACCCTGATTTTCCGAGTGTCTTGATCGCAGTCTCTCTTCGACGGTCAAAATCAATCCTGCATACCAACCGGAAACAGCCAGGTCATGTCAATCTGCTAGTCATGTTTCATGTTTGGAACAAACCATTTGCTTCCTTACTTACTTTGGTATTAATACTAAATCAGCGCCGGCATAGACCAAGGTCTGCCTCAAAATAGCTTCAGCGTCTTGTTCAGACGAGAATTCAATCAAAGCAGTGCCAGAAAAGTGTCGCTTATCTCCGATGTGGTGAGGTAGCCTCACACTGTTCACCTGAACAACACAAATTCAAACGAGAGCATTCATAAAGCTATTTTCGACGACATCATAAGAGGCATATGAGGAAGAACCTTGGCATATTGGGAGAAGAAAGATGCCACATCCTCCATCTTTATGCTGTACTCAAAAGGAGATGCCGCAACGGTTCTTCTGTGGACTTGTTCAAGCACCTCCTCCGGCTTGGAGAGTTTTGTTCCTCTCCCGATCCTTAGACCTTGGTTTTTTTTTATTTTTTGATTAACAAGGAAATTGTCATCATAATTCATAAGGCTGGTAAACCAAAGAGAGAAAAAAAAGAGTACCATTGGCGGAGACTTTAAGAAAATCAGAAGTCCGCAAGAGATTAGCTACTCCCTCAACTATTCTCTTAGGGATGTCTTCGCGTCTGATGTTACCGAGCCCAAGGAGATTCCTCATACGAGAGAAGGAACAAACCAGAGGCAGACTAACCACTAAATTTTTCGATATCAATGACGACGATCAAGGAAAAACAAAAATTATATATAGTTTTGTGTGTGCATTATATTATAATAATATGGGATACGGCCATCTTTGCTCTTGGTGACTTCCTTTCTGAGGAAATCGTCTCTGGGTAGATTACTGTCACTGAAGTAAAACTCCACCTTTTTAACCAGACAGAAAAACCTTGTTGAGGAACAAAATAGTGGGTAATTAGAGATGAACAAAACATAAAATCCAGAAAATACCTGGGTAATCAACTTGTTGGCGGTTTCGTCGTTGAAGGAGGCCATTGAAGAGGGAATTTGGAAGAGGAAGGGGACAGAAAGTTGAGAAAGGGGGAAGAGCTATTCAAGGCGACTACGATAGGCCCATCCAAATAATGACGGGTTGGATTTTATATTTCGTATATAGAGGTCCAACTACAATAGGCCCATCCTAATAATGGGCTTAAACTCTTGTGGGCTAAATATTGCCGCCATCAAATTATTATTAGCCCCGCGTCCAAACAGGCTCTATCTTTCTTAGAAATCGGCGGCAAATTGGAAGAAGGGAGCCCGCCTTGTCCTTTGTGACTGTGAAGAGAACACTATCGATCGAGAGGGAGAGAGATGACGGAAAAACAAGAATTCTCGGCGTTTCCGTACAAGCCGTACTCGATCCAAGTCGATTTCATGAATGCGCTCTATCAGTTTCTGGACAAGGGTGGCGTTTCCATGCTCGAAAGCCCCACTGGTACGGTACGCTTCGCTTCTTCCTGTCTAGCTCCAGAGGAATGTTTTTAACCTGGACGTTCTCGACATTGGATCAGTTTTCTACATTCAATCGATCAATCTAGTAGTATAAGTATACCCCTCTCTTATGGTTTTGATGTGTCAGGCACTGGAAAATCTCTAAGCATCATCTGCAGTGCCCTACAGTGGCTAATTGACCGCAAGGAGAAAGGAAAATCAGGATCCGACAAGGCTGTTGAGGAATTCTCCTACGACGAGCCCGATTGGATGAGAAATTTTGCTGTCAATGAAAATCATTCTGACAAGACCATCAAAAACAGCAGCACATCCCCATTTCGGCTCAGGAAACATGCCAAGGAAGTTTTCTCGCAAGTGCAAGTCTCTGTGAAGAAACACGAGGAGGATGACTTAAGCGATCAAGAATTCTTGTTGGAAGAATACGAAAGCCAAGATGAATCATCTTCAAAGAGAAAACCCGCTGGAGTTTTTGACAGCTCATCCGAGGATGATGACGAAGATGAAACGGAAAACGAAGAAGGAGGACTCAAGGTTTTCTTTTGCAGCCGAACACATTCACAGCTTTCTCAATTTGTCAAGGAGCTGAGGAAGACTGTCTTTGCCAAAAATCTCAGAGTTGTATGTCTAGGCTCGCGAAATAACATGTGCATAAACGAAGGTACTATTTCTCCTTCTTGTTCTTTCAACGTTTGCCTGTTACTTACAGTTTCAGAGGTCATGTACAGATGTTCTTAAGCTTGGGAATGTGGTCCGGATCAACGAGAGGTGCTTGGATTTGCAAAAGAAGAAGAAATCTCAAGTCTCCAAAAAGAAGGTACACATTATCAACTTGGTTAATGGATTTATCTATAAAAGCGGCTGAGTTCTGAATGGAGGCTTCTTACATAAACGAATATTTGCTTGTTGTTATCGTTATGCACGGTCATTTTTTTTTTCAGTCGGCTGTTTGCTAACTTATGGAAGCTTGACCATTTCAGAATTTAGGTACAACTGTAAGGGTAGGACGAACCAAAGCATCTTGCAGATGCCCAATGCTTAGAAAAAATACACTACAGAGAGAATTCAAGGCTGAGGTTTTTCAACAAGAAGCCATGGACATTGAGGATCTTGTTCAACTTGGACGGGAGATGAAAACTTGTCCATACTATGGTTCAAGAAGAATGGCCCCGGCAGCTGATCTTGTTATCCTTCCGTATCAGTCTCTTCTATCAAAGTCGTCACGGGAATCTCTTGGCCTAAACTTGAAAAACAATGTTGTCATCATAGACGAGGCTCACAATTTGGCTGACACTCTTCTCAGCATGCACGATGCAAAAATAACAGTGTCACAGGTAAGCTGTCAGCTTCGTCTGCGTTTAAAGTTCCTGTGTGGTTTGGATGGACTTTTGCATTGCTAGTGAGTCCTCTGTGTCAGCCATACTCAACTTTCTGTCTAAATAGGTTTCTGTCGTAGCTGCTTTGCTGATACTTCAGTACACAGAATTTAGATAACAACTGACACACAGGGTGGAGTCACGGTTTTTAATCGATTTGTATTGCAGTTGGAGGATGTACATTGCAGCATAGAACATTATCTGGGAAGATTCCAGAATCTATTGGGAGCTGGAAACCGTAGATATATCCAAACTCTGTTGATTCTCATCCGAGCTCTCCTCAAACCTATTGCCAGTGACAGGATCCTGAACACCGTAAATAATGGGCTTGATACAGGAAATCACTCTAAAAGCAAGCCTTCTGGTGGTTGCTCGATGGCAATATATGACTTTTTATTCTCTCTAAATATAGACAATATCAATTTGGTCAAGTTACTCGCCTATATAAAGGAAAGCAATATCATTCATAAGGTGAAGCGGTTCATAGTATATAGCCCTTCGCTTGCTTGAGTCTTTTCTCCTGTACATTTCCTTTTTCTCACCTTCAATATTCAAATTTGTGTCCAGGTCAGTGGATATGGAGAGAGAGTTGCTATGTTTAAGAAAGATCCAGTGGCCCATGAAATGAGCAAGTTAACAAGTTTTAGAGCGTTGTTTGATATGTTGGTAGCACTCACTCATAACAATGGTGATGGGCGGATAATAATCTCAAAGAGGACTTCGTCTACCTCTGGCCAACAAGGAGGGTACATTAAATATGTCATGCTCACTGGAGCAAAGTTATTTTCGGAGGTTGGCCATTGCATAAATGTCTTCCTTTTTTTCCGAGTCTGTAACAGTTTCGGCAATTCAACAATGTAAAAGTTTATCCAACCAATTTGTAGGTGGTGGATGAAGCTCATGCTGTCGTATTGGCTGGTGGGACTCTTCAACCTATAGAAGAGACAAGGGAACGACTCTTTCCATGGCTACCATCAAATCAGCTGCAGTTCTTCTCATGTAGTCACATTGTTCCCCCTGAGAGTATAATGCCAATCGCAATTTCACATGGTCCGACTGGACAGTCTTTTGACTTTAGCCACAGTTCAAGAAGCTCAACTGAAATGGTGGGTGATCCAAATGGCACTCGTTTTCTAACTTTTTTTTATTCCTCTAACCTTAATTAGATTTAGAAAGAGTAGTGAGTGTAACCTTTGTATTTGACTGTGTGGGACTGGTTGGCAGATACAGGAGTTAGGACTGCTAATGAGTAACCTGGTGGCAGTGGTTCCTGAAGGAGTTATCGTCTTTTTCTCCTCTTTTGAGTATGAAACACAGGTGCACACAGCGTGGAGTAACTCGGGGATACTCAGAAGAATAATGAAGAAGAAGCGTGTGTTCAGAGAACCCAGAAGAAACACTGAAGTAGAAGCTGTTCTCAGAGACTATAAAGAAACAATAGAAAGCGAAAGAGGGGCAATAATGCTAGCTGTGGTTGGTGGGAAGGTGTCAGAAGGAATCAACTTCAGCGACAGCATGTGTCGGTGTGTTGTGATGGTTGGTCTGCCGTATCCCAGCCCGTCTGAGATTGAATTGTTGGAGAGAATAAAGCATATAGAAGGTCTTGGAGATTCAGGATCCGCAAAACCTTGTCTGGGTTTGGTTGACGATTCTTACTACAGTGGAGATGTGCAAGAAGGGTTTGGCGTATTAAAGAGCTGCAAACGGAGAGGGAAAGAATACTATGAAAATCTGTGTATGAAAGCAGTTAACCAATCAATCGGTGAGTTTTTGTTTGGGTTTCTTAATTTCGCTGTTAGTGTTTTTAGCATATCTGTGAGTTTTGGACTGAGACCAAAAAATTGTTCTTCCCTGCTTTTGATTTTCAGGTAGAGCAATCAGGCACGTAAAGGACTATGCAGCCATTCTACTGGTAGATGCTCGATACTCCAATGATCCTGCTTCAAAAAGAACATCTCACCCATCCAGCAAGCTCCCAAAGTGGATCAAAGATCGTCTTATTTATTCCACCAAAGGCTATGGAGACGTTCACAGAATGTTGCACCAATTCTTCAAACATAAAAATGTTAACTAAAAAGCCAATCAGCATTAGAGAAAAGAGTGAAGCATCATCTATGTTGGAATAGATCCTTGGCACTCTTTTTTTTTGGGTATCAAAACAAAGTGGAAAGAGAAAAAGGCATATAGCAAAAGAATTTCATTTAATCTGTTTTTCTGGGTTTTCAAACGTCCCAACTGTTTTATCACAGACGGGGGTGGTTTCTGCGACTCAGATTTGTTTGACCATGCAATCCAAATCCAACTAAACTTTTTTTTGTATGTGCTAACAATTATATTTATGAATCTTGAGGCAGCAACTTATATGTTTCTTGAGGCAGCGCAACAGCAGCAGCATCATCACTCTCCTGGCAATTGAGTGAATAAACACCTCAAGGCAACCTCGTAAGCAGCAAAAATAGCACCGTTGACCACAAAGGCCCTGGCAACTGCAGTGCCGAGGCCACGCCAGAGAACCCCATAGCCTTCCTGAGTGATGCTCTTGCGAAAACAATCAGAAATGCCGTCGTAAGCCCCATGGCCACCTTGTTGCAGCCTGGTCTTGACAACATCGAGAGGATAGCAAGCGACCCAGCTGGCGACACCAGCAAGGCCCCCAGCGACGAGCATGGTCCTGAGGGTCTCATCTCCAGTCTTTCTGCAGCCGGGGTGGAGCCTTTCTCGTACGTACTCATAGGTCCAGAAGTAGAGGCCGTGAGCTGGAGCATCTCTGAGCACCGTAATGGTGAGGCCTTTGTATATCCCCTTTAGACCTTGTCTCCTGAGGATGCTCTTAGCCAAGCTGATTGGACCACTCTTGCATTGCTGCAGCTGAAGACGAATCTTGATGAGCTCCACGGGGCTAAGCAACAGGCTCTGCACAGCCCCAGTGCCAACCCCTCCAAGAGCAACGCCTCTGTAGGAAGGAGGCCCTTCCGGAGGAACAGAGGAATCAAAGGAGCGAGAGAGTATGGCATATATCTGGAATACCATAGCATTCTGCACACACACAAAGACAAAAAAAGAAAAGAATGAGAGATTTGATCATCTGCTTAACCAACCAACCAACCAACCAAACAAAAGAGGTGATCAAGAAGGGAACCTGAAAAGTGACGGAGGCCAAGGGCGCAGCCATGCCCCTGTAGAGCGACGTTGGGCCCTCAACGGCGAGCATCCGCCGGAGAATGGTCAAGGCAGATCCCGATTTCGAGCTCTGTTGCTGCCGAATTCTCAGCGTGTCCAGTGGATACCCGGAGATTATCCCTGCCACGCCTCCGAATCCACCGGCCACGAACTCCCTTCCCCAGCTGCTCGCCATGAACTCCGGCCAGAAATCCATCTTTCCCTGAAAACGGATTGATAATTAAGAAAACGTGAATAAAAAAGGAAAAAAATCTGTGACTGTGTTTGGGAAACAAATTAAGGATGATTGAGCCACACCGTCCTTTTCATACCATCTCGCCCAACCCACTCCCGCCACCTACATAATAAAACTCGTTTCCTCTCTCTTTGTTTTTCATTTAATTATTTATAAAGATCACGTTCAATTAAATAAAAAAAAACAATAGTGGAATATACTTGTTTTGACCTGTTGAGTGATAAGCTAAACAATGATGGTTCCTATTAAATTAGTGAAATTGAATCCATCCAAATTCACATTCCAAATGTCTAGTGAATTTCAAACTATTGTATAACCTGCCTTTTCATGGCTCTCGGTTCTTTTATGATTTGTCCACTGCGGAAGAATTAAATAAACGATTAATGGATAATCCAATGGATTCTGTATAGGAACGAAGTGCACGCAATCTGTATATGAGGAACAAAGTGCACATCATCACAAATATAAAGGCAAAGATGTCACAAGAAGAAGAAACGTGGAGTAGACAAACATCTCTATCTTTTATGTGTTTATATGTATGTATATAGGGACAAGAAAGCGAAAGTTGAATAGAAAGAGAGAGAGAGACGTCAGGTTACTTCTCTCCCAGATGACAAACTTATGTTTTTTTAATCTAAAAAAAAAAGATACAAAGAACATTCATAACACAGCCAAAACTCAGGGGGGGATTCTCACTTCTTGCTTCTTTTCTTTAGCCCACTCCCTCCAAAGATTCATTCTGTGATGCCTTTGCTCTTAGTTTCTCTTTAAGGGTCTGTTTTTTTCCCATTCAACTCAATCACTCACCCTCACATACAGATCCTTCTGATGCTAAGCATTTTATACATAATCACATATGATGCTTACATACTAATACTTTCCTTCCATCTCATACGCAACTCTTTAAGTTGAAGACGAGTAGAAACAAGCTTAAAAACAAAAAACACAGACGTATAATTGTGGGAACTCACCTTCCCCCCATCTTTCTTCTTCTGAAATCTGAATGTTAGCCAGACCAGCATATTATTATTATGATTAATTTTATGTTTGCTAAATAAGACCAGCATATTAGATACTATTACTATATCTCTCGACTGTTGAATCGGTTGTTGTTATTATATCTTTTCTATCCAATTTATATTAGCATAATGTGAAGTGAGGTCAGGTGAGAAGTTTATGCAGAGCTGCTTCTTATAATAAGTACAGCAGTATATCGCCGCGATCAAATGGGCTTGGCTATATTATGGGGCCCAATCCATATAATTTCCAATTGGGTTGGCTATATCCAAAAAGAGATGACATGTTTTGTTTCTTTTGGGTCAAGAAAGGGAGATGACATGTGTTTTTCTACATCGTTTGAATCAAATCAATGGTTGGTTATATGATCAGATACCATCAGCATTGATTCAGTGATGATGAGGGCTGATGATTCCTCACTTGAGAGAGAGAGAGAGACACACACACACAGGCAGTGTAAAATAATTAACGATGAGATTCCGAAACTAACCCTGGTCAACTCCCTCTCTCCACCCTGTTTTTGGAGATTTGCAGCTCTCACAAAGCGCGCGCTAATTTGCCCTTTTACAAGATCCCGATCGATAAAGGCGGGGACACAGGTTGCTTTGGTTTTCTTGCGAAACACAGTCCGTTTCTTGAGATCTCATGTAGACCCAGCCAAGGTCGTTTCTTTTTCATTCCTATCTTTTTCCTCTTTCTCTCTCTCTCTCTCTCTCTCTCTCTCTCTCTCTCTCTCTCTCTCTCTCTCTTATATAAGTAAAGCCTCTCTTCCCTAAAAACGCCATATTTCACAAAAGGAGGACGGCATTTCTTCTCTCTCTCTCTCTTTCTCTTGCAAGAAAGATCCCTCTTTCTATTGCAAGAAAGAGAGAGATAACGAAAACAAAACAGGAAAAACAAAGAAGAAGAATCCAATCTCTGTTAATTTCAAAAGGCAAAATGTTTGATGGGCTGTTTAAACCCAAATTTTATACGAAATGGTAAAAGTCTTCTTTTTTTCTTTTCTTGGTTTTGTCCATCTTGTTGTTTTGTATTGTTGATCGCGCGCATTCATCATTTAAAATTTCCTCAGCAAGTCGTTGGTCAAGATAACGAAAACAAGAGTAGAGACGGTAAAGAGGAAGAAAAACTCTGTTTGCAAATATCTGAAGAACGACATTGTCGATCTTCTCAGGAACAGCCTCGATTACAATGCATATGGCAGGGTAATTTTTGCTTTACCCGTTTTTATAGTTTGTTAATGTCACGGTCAATCAACATGTAATTCTGAATTCATGATTGGAGTTTTAGACCCGTAATTTAAGCCCTGTATCGACTTGTCGTTTAATGGGTCGCGGGGATCTGATTGCTTGTCCCAACGTGAAAGCAGCCAACACAAAATACATGTTTTTTTTTTTTCTTTCTTTCTTTTCTTAGAAAACAAGGGTCAACGATGATTAGGTTCTATTTTAGTATAGTAAATGGATGCAATGGAAAAAGAAAAGCTGTATATATTTAATATGTGATGCTGGCACCAGCTGGTTATAACAGACTAGAGAGAATTGTTGCTTAAGAAAAACCATCTGCTTCTCTTATCTCGTGTGCAATAAACTTTGTTTGATCTCCCATTAATTTGCGTGACAGGCAGAAGGGCTTATTGAGGAGAAAAGGAGGCTGTCCTGTTACGAGCTGTTGGAGCAATTCTGCATCTGTGTTGCATCCAATGTGTCTCTCTTACAGAAATCCAGGTAGGTGAAATTAAAGGGGGCTTAAGACGACCCCTCTTTGCCTTTGCCTTTACTTAATTAGCCCTTTCTTGTTTGGACTCTGTGCAGTAAATGCCCTGATGAGTGTCGTGAGGCCATCTCCTCCCTCGTATATGCGGCCGCTAGAGTCTCGGAAGTGCCAGAGCTTCGCGATCTCAGGTCTTTATTTGCTGATAGATACGGGAATTCACTTGAACAGTTTGTGAATCCTGAGGTAATGATTATGCTTTTGAAACATTCTCTATGTACAATCTAAATAATAACCAACCAACTGTAGTTGTAGTTGTAGTTGACCTGCTGCTGACTCTCCATGCATGGCAGTTTGTAGAGAGATTCAAAGCAGAGCCCCCGTCAACGGAAATGAAGGTAGAGCTGCTGCAGGAAATCGCCAGAGAATACTCCATCAAATGGGATGCCAAGTCTTTAGAAAAGAGGCTCTACACAACACCACCACCAACAATTCTTCATCATCATCATGTGAGGAGTCAAATTTAAATATAAAATTGAACCATCCGAGCCATACTCATATATACCTCTGTGTTTTTTGCAGACGGAAACTGAAGAGCCGCCGAAACCAAAAACAAAGGCCAATACTGGAGAAAACACAAGCAGCATTTCGTTTCATGGCAGAAAAGACTCTTTCGATGACGACGACAACAAGTCCATGAGTAGAAGAAGCGAAGACGACTCCATGAGTACAAGCGAGAGTTGCGTCTCTGGCCCGGAGGAAGATCCCGAAACCAAACCTTTCTACTACCGATTCATGCCTGCGCCTTACAACAGCAAACCCAAAATCGAGAAACAGGAAAGCAACATCACCAAATCCCAACTCATGGCGGACGACGACACTGGTGAGTTAGTCAAAACCCAGAATAGCTATAGAGACAGAGAGAACATCTAAATTTGGAAAGCAAGCACTATAGTGATACAGATCTATATAGAAAGTAATGTTGTCATCTGATCTCTCAGATTCGCCGAGTGCGGGAAGACCAAAGCCGAGATCAGTGAGACGGCGATTGGCGAACCCGCCTCCAGATGCGCCTGAATATTCGGTGAAACAAACAAGTAAGAACATGAGATCGGACTCGATGGAGAATGCAGGCGGAGAGGGGGTTAGGAGGATGAGTCGTCGAACAGCGTCGTGGCAGCCTAAGCCCTCCAACGTCCCAGATTTTGATGAGGTCGCCGCTCGCGTAGATGCTCTCACTCGGAATTGATCTTCTTCTTCTTCTTCTTCTCCTTCTTCTTCAGTTATTATTAGTGATGCGATTGTGATTAGAAGAAATTGAAACTGAAATCGAAATTGTCGTCTGTGAATGAATGAATTCCACTATTCCCTTCTTTGTAGTAAACCTATAAGCTGCCGCCATTTTAATCCTACATTTAGCGCCTTTTTTCTAACCTCTTACAGTAATTAAAACTTGTGGGAGCCCTAAAATAAAATAAAATCCGTAGAATCGACGAATTCCACTTTCTTCTTCTTCTTCTTCGTTCTTCCTCACAACCAACCATCAATGGGTAACCCTAAAAGACTGATCTCGGAGGAAATGAAGGATTCAGAGATTCATTTGATGAGCGAGATTCATCTCGGTTGCCCACCCGCCACTAACGGACCCTTTGTTTCCCGTTTCACCTTCTCCTCCCCACTCGGTCTCGGTGGTAGCTCGAATGATCATATTAGTGTAGATAAAGATGGTGATCTTCTTCTCCCTAGACGAACCAGTAAGAGTTTCCATCTCATGACCCCTGGATTTCTTTTCCTTGACTCCTTTACTGTCACCATTCAGCATTGTATCACATCAACGCTCCGTGATGTTGGTCTTCAGGTAAGCTCATCTCATCTCTTTTGGGTTTCTTTTTTTTTTTTTTTTTTTTTTTGCAATTTCATGCTTGCTTACGCCTACCGCTGCCTCTTGAGGTGTGGAAAGCACAACTGGTCTTATCAGATTTTGTGTTGCATAAGATGTGCACATCATCCCAACTCAATTCCATTGTCTGCCTGGAACTCGGCTCTGGAACAGGTTTTTTCTTTTCCTTACTCTCTTATCTGCTGTATCTCTAGGATTCCCATGAGCCATTACATCTTTGAGATTCAATTGACCAAATGCCTCTTCAGTCGATGTCTTATCTTGGTTTGTTTTCTCCTTTTCCAGGCCTGCTCGGTATATTGCTTGCACGAGTCGCCAAGGCAGTTTTCCTTACTGGTGCTGCTTCATTCTCTTCACATACAATACTTCTTTTCTCCCTCAAATTCAGTCTCATTCTTCCTTGTCTTCTACAATAGATCATGGATACGAAATTCTTGGCAACTGTCTTCGGAACGTGGAAATGAATTCATCCTTGTTTAACCCTCAAGCTGTGGTCAATGTTCGTGAGCTCAACTGGATGAGCGAATGGCCTGTTGATGGTGACTGCAGAGTTCCAGAAAAGTAATGAATCATCTTCTTGCTCTTTATTTGATTTCTATATATATATATATATATATCATGACGTGTGATCATGTTCAGGTATCGTTGGAGCTCGCAGGACTTTGAACAAGTCAAAAGTGCAAGCTTCATTTTTGCAGCAGATGTGATCTACAGCGATGATCTAACCGTAGCGTTGTTTAGCATGTTAAAGAGAGTGATGTCATTCGGTTGTGACAAGGTAATACTTGGATGGCCTTTTGCTTGTTCACTTTAAGGGCTTAAAGCAACCACCAGTTACACATTTGTGAATTGGCAGGTGCTATATTTGGGATTGGAGAAACGATACAACTTCAGCTTGGATGATCTCAACGTTGTTGCCAATGGCTACGCCTGCTTTAGAAGCTACATCAAAGAAGATGAACTTTGTAAGATTATCCCCATTGTGCTCCCAATGTTAAAAGTTAAAAAGATGTGATAAAATAAAATAAATAAGTGGTATGGAATAGGTGAGCAAGAGGAGAAGAGTTTTGTGGGCAAGCGCATCGACGTCACACAGATCCCTCAGTACACCAAGGGTTATGATAGAGGTGAAGATGTTGAGCTTTGGGAGATCAAATATGTAGCTTAACGCTACGTGTGTGGTCATAGAAATACTGATTTATAGAAAAGATAATACCGTGATTTCAAGGAAACCTGAGGAATTTGATAATGAAGCTCCTCCCACTCCCCCTAGTGAATGATCACCAAATACTCGTTACCCTTAGGGTTAAATCAAACCAGTGTCTGATAAAAACCAGTTCACAAAGTTCAACGAAACCGCATTACATTTAATAACAACTTTTTCTAGAAAAGAATAACACAAGGAACCAAAAAAAAAAAATTTGCTTCCTAAATATTGTTATCGAAACGAAGAAATTAAATATAGAGAATCTTTCGGGAAATAATAGCGGAACCAGAAAAAGAGGTTCCACTAAGGTAAAAACAAAATCGTTACAACACCATCTCTCTCTCGTGGTATATTCAGGCACTACCTTGGGTGGGATTCTCTGTCTCCATTGGTTCGCCGGAGACCGGTGGCTGTGGCTGTGGCTCACTCTTGCCATCATCCGCGGACTCACCTCCCTTGGCTTGTGGTGGCTCCGCTTTAGCCGCCGGCTTTGGTTTGGTCATTACAGGCCTGCAAAACCTGCCAAACATTCAAAGCTGGTTCATTCACTATAATATCATTCAACATTTCTCTTGGGAGTAATAAATGTAAAGCTTTGCTTACTTGTCCAATGCCTCCGCCTTGCTTGTAACGTCAGCTGACAAGAGAGCCGGTGTGGCATACTTGGGTAGCGTGTCCTGCTGCTGCTGCTTCTCCCGCAGCCATGCTTCTGCTTCCACACACTCGTTCAAAACCTTCATTATTGCACAACACATCAAAAACATTCAACCATTTTTTCTCACGAGAATCTTCACATTTGTCCTGCTTTCGAGGTGAGCCAAATTATTACCTTCTGCTTCTCTGCCAATTCAATGTGGTCAAACTTGGGATCATTAGACACAGCTGCCTCTCTGTAGCTGTTGATACAGTAACTAAGCTGATCAATTACCGACCCTCTTTCCAGCGACTCTTTGTAACGCTCTTCAACAGGGTCACCCACCTACAAAAGACCAGTCACCAAGCTCTGTTAAAACAAGCATCCAAAAAACAAACACAATAAAGTGCCATCATGTGTAGTACCTTCTTTAGCTCCTCGAGCTTTGCAACATAAACACCTTTAGTCTCTTCTTCCCCATCTTCATACAACCAATCTTCCACTTCCTGCAGACTCGCCAGGAATGCTTCCCTCTCTGAATCAGTGATATATTCCTGGTATTTGTCGCTCAGCTGGAAAAAAATATGTCAGTGCCACATACTCTGAACCTTATAAATGCATACTCCCAATGCCAAAACCACACACACGAGAAAAAAAAAACGAAATCTCACTTTGTTTCGCATATCATAAACATAGGACTCAACAGCATTCTTCCGGTCCTTTGTCTCCT